GTGCGCGGCCCCGGCGTCGCTTGAGCCGCCCCTGCGGCCGCCGCGTTCCGAGAGGCGACGGGCTCCCTTCCCCACCTGCCTGCCCCTGCTCCAGGCAGCTCCCTCCGGTCTCCTCGGGAAGCTCGGCGGCTCCAGGGCTCGGGTGGCGGGAGTTCGGTGCTGGTCTCGCTTACCGGGTGCGCTGTCTGCAGGGGGCTGGGAGTGTTTTGGAACATTTTGGAAGTGTTTTACGAAAACACGTTAGTGGAGTTGGCCTCTTAGTTTCTGCATAGATTAAAAATATACAGAGACGTAGATAGATGTCTGGGGAAAGTTTGGATATCTGGCCCAAAAGAGGTACTTGGAGCCATGATTCAAACTCCAAAACCAGCTTTTCGTCACAATTAGAAAAAAGAGTACATTTGTTGAACTTGGTGGCTGTTTCTGTACTTTTTTGTTTGTTTGTTTAACATAATGTCTCTGTGTTTCTCAGTATTTTTTTTTTTGGGTGGGGTAGAGCATAGCTTGCTTTATTTGGTAGAGGTAAGCCCTGGCTAACTTACCTTAAAGTAGGGCTTGCCATCTTTCAGAGGATACCTGAGGGTTTTACCCTGGCAATTGTTTTACGAATGCGTACCTGTATATTATGGTTTATACCAACAGGTTCTTGTTGTCAAAGCTTTGCACAACTCTGTAAATTCTCTCATGGATGTATCTGCATCTGTTCTTGCTGTTAGTTTTTCATGTGCTGATTAGCCAAAGTCTTGCTGACAAAACTTTAATGTTCTGAAAGAAATTACTTTTTTGTACTGGTTTATACTTGTAATATTTTCTTGATATGTCTGTAGTTAACAGTTGTAAAAGTGTAGGATGTGCAGTATTAGGTGGCGTGTCAACCTACGAGTTAAATATGTAGCGAGTTAAAACCCTCTTTTCATTGTCTAGGCAAACTGCAAACACACCTATGGTTTCTTCCACTGGTAGAAAACTGCCTCTTGTAGGCTTTTTTAAATTGTTCTAGTCTGTATTCTGTACCTTCCTTTCCTGCTAATCAGGTGCTAGAGATGCACTATAAGTGAAGAAGCAGTCAGGGCTTGTGACGTTGTGTAGGTTTTTTAAGGATAATGTAGTGCTGAAACTTCTAGAAAATGAGTGGTTGGTCTCTATAGGTTGAATGATGATGATTTCTTTGAAGTGTTAAATTAACTTTCATGTGAACGAAACCAAAAAGTACAGGAGTAGCTGGTAGCTATGATTTCAAATACTAGTTAAGCATAGCTGTTACTGTGGTTAGTGAAGTCTTTTTAATCTGTGCTCTTGTAAGATTGAAAACAATCAGTACAATGTGCTTATAAACAAATCCTTGTTGCCTCAGCCTAAAACTCTAGGCTTACTGTTCCCCCATTGTGTGTTTCCTTGATTTAAAATATATCTGGGGATCACCTGTGTGATGTGTTCGTTGGTGCTTGTACAGAGAACCGTAGAGGTTCTAATGAATAAGGACTGTCTCTGAAGTGCATATTATGAAGCAGATTTCAAGGCATTCCTAGAACTATTTGTTGCTAATGCATTATTTACGAGCACCTTGATTTAATATAGCATAGGAGTCTTCTTCCTTTTGTGAAAATAATAAATTCTAAAGGGAAAGGAGAAAGGCTTGTGTGAGAGGTGGAGGGGATCATTACTGTGCAGTGGTCTAGGCTATGAAGGCTTATCAGCAGTGTACAGCTCTTTATTTAGATATTCTAAATTAATAATCGTGCCCCATCTGACGAAGCTGTGCCAGCATAGCCCAGCTGCACTTGCAGTTATATGAGCAAAATCCTTTTGTTAGTCTAGTTTATTCAATTTGGGTAACTGGTCTGAACTTGCCTTGGGGAGTCCCCGGAGTGTATTAATTCCATTTAGCCCTTTCTCTCATCATAGAAAATGAAGTTTTATACCCCGAACTAGAGTTCCTGGCCATGGTATGGAAGTTGCAAAATAAACCTAGTTCACTAGATATAAAATTAATGTTTTCCCCCTCACTCTTATGACATGGAATAATGGGGTTTTTTTCAGAATTAAATCTAATACACTGATAAGACAGATATGGTTACTGTAGTTCATGCTCTATTGTTGCTGGAGATTTATAGTATAGCAGCAGTGTGCTGTGTTACAGAGGACCTAAAGATGTGTCCCATAAGTAAGTCTTAAGCAAGTATCTCTAGTAATTTCCTAGTATGCTGACATCCCTTGTACTATGTTTTCCTAGATGAGTTGCCAGTGTGCCAGTATGCATTTGTAAAGAGCTCAGGTGGCAAGAAGTCTTCTCTTCTTAAGTTAGGCTCTTCCAATCTTTCATCTCCTCTACACTTCCTATAAATTGTAAGCACAGCCCATTTAATTGAATAGAGTGCAACATTTGATATAAAATGAAAACATTTTAGGAGGTAAAATAAACTACGAAATTGCAGTTGTACTTTTTTTTTTTATCTGCTTTATAAGAGTATTGATCATAGCAAACCATGTTAGGAAATAATAGCCGGATTATTAGTCACTTGGTGTTTACACCAACTATGTATAAAATCATGTTTAAAAAAAAAAATCACACGTTTGAAAATCTGGCCCTTTGTATGCTTACTGCAATAGAATTTAACTCCAAATTGACAGTGAGGTTGTTGGCTTTTTAAACTTTTATTACTGAATTGTGTTTAAGCTACATAGTCTTGAAGCCAAACAATTGCAATTGATACAATGCTCTGGCATTCATACTTCGCATAGCTGAAGAAGTATTTGAGACACACAGGATAAAGTCTTTCACTGACGTCATGATTAAGTGTGCTGATTCTGACGTGATGGGAGTTCCTCCTGCAGGCTTTTCTTTGCTTTTCTTGTAAGCAGGTATGAATCATCCCTTCTGCCTTATTGTTAGTTAATGTTACTGTAATTGGAGTGTTTCTAGAAGAGGAATGTTCCCAGATAATGCCTTTATTTAACATTTTCGGAGGAAGGCGGGGAGCTGGGAGGTGTAACTTGTTTTGCTGTGCTTGAGTTAGCATGGTGTTAATGTGCTAACAACGGGGTCCTTGTCTCCTTATTTTCATTCCTTTATTTGTATGCGAGAGCTCTACGGGTTTTATTCACCAAAAGGTTGTAATCAAATGTGAGTTAAAGGTTGGTCGCAGGCTTGGTAATGTGCACCTTCACAGCTACTGTGTGTAACATATACCCAAGTATGTGATACTGAGGCTCAAACTTTCAGTCAGTGAGTATTTTGTTCCATCTTCCCTTCTGTTCTGCTTAAAAGAAACTTGATAAAGAAATGATTTAAAGTCGTTATGTTCACTGTAGGTCAGCAATAGAATTCACAAAAAATGTCACCAACTTCTTTGTTTTCTATTTTTTCATTAGTTTACCTTTTAATTCATATATGACTTGGTCTGCTTTTAGTAACCTGGCTGCTGCTCTTAATTCCTTTTACTGTCTTTGATATGTTGTGTGTGTCTGGTATGGAGGCTTTGGAATAATTTTTATCCAAAATTCTGTTGGAGCAGAACACTATAATTTTACCAGTTATTCATGTTAAAATTTCAGTTTATCTAGTCTTCCATCAAATCAAATTACTCTTTTATTTGCATCCAGTTTAGTCTTATGTCTACCACCACCGAATCATTGCTAGCATTGTTTTTTAATGTGTATGTTATACAGCTGATTTAGGAGACAGGTGGATGAGGGAGCAGGGTTTTTTGTTCAGATCATACTGACTAAATGGAAATCCTACTCCTGAAATTAGTGCCAGTGATTAAGTGGTGGTTTTGCTTATTTTCTCAATCATGTCTGTTATATACCCTGGATACAACCACATTTTACAAGACTAAGCAATCAAGATTTGAGTCTTGATCATGTAGGGAAATCTTCTGATTGCTCCTAAGGAGTAGTGGCTGGTTGTCTCTGTTGTATCTCTCTTTAGGTAACAGCAGAATTGACTTGAGATCAGCTCACTAATGCTTTACTGTGCATAGCTTGTACTGAAACACAGCAGCCATTCTTTGTAGTTCTCAGGTAAAAGTGGCTTTTTCACTTGCTCAAACAGCTGGAAATCTGAAAATCCTCAGTCTTGCATAGGTTAACCGTACCTGTAAAACAATTTATACATACTGTTCTAAAGTGTACTGGCATTTCTTTGAAAGTTCCAGGTAGTCACATACCATAGCAGGTTAATCATAATTTTGTTTTTGAGCCATCATCAGTGCTGGGTATGAATTCTGTCCCTTACTGAGAGCAGGACTGTTTCATAAGCATGTAAGAATCTGCAATTGTTCTTGCACTAGTTTGTCACCTTAATGCTAAGCTCCCACGTTAGTGAATGCTTTGACATAAACAGAACAATGAAAACAACTTTTGCATATTCAAAAGTTGTACTGTTTTATCAAGACCGAAAAACAGTTATAACTGGAAAAAAAAACAAAACCAAACCAGTCTAAACTGTCCTTTTTATACCACTTTGTAGTGGTCGTAGTTTTTTGTGCACTTTTGAATTCATAACACTCCTGGTTTAACATTCAAATGATTCTATTGCTTGAGGATGCTGGATTTCCATATTAATGATATAAGATGTATTTTGTTGTAGTTTGGAGCAGAATTTCGACGATTTTCTCTGGAGAGATCCAAACCTGGAAAGTTTGAGGAGTTCTATGGATTATTGCAACATGTACACAAGATACCAAATGTTGATGTTCTAGTGGGATATACGGACGTTCATGGAGACCTGCTGCCTATCAATAACGATGACAATTACCATAAAGCAGTTTCCACAGCCAATCCTCTACTCAGGATTTTCATTCAGAGAAAAGGTAAGTGCACTTGGAGACTGTGAATCATGTTCATCCGGTTATACTGTGTTGCAGTAAACAGTGTGACATGTGGAGGAAAAACCCTTCAGTCCTATTTCATCATGCTCAATTCTATAATAATTATGGATCATGAAAGGTATTCACAACTCATCTCTCTTGCAAGAGCTTCCTCAGGCAACCTATTTATACTTTGTGGTTTTTTGCTTGTGTTTAGTTCAGTTAGATAAAGTCAACTTAAATCTAGCAAATGCTTCTTTTGGCGTTTGTATAAGCACATGAAAATAAACTTCAAACCTCTGGGGTTTTCTGCTCTGTATGTTGGATGCCTTTCACTTAAAATTCTGATCTTGATCAGATGAGGAGAGGCCATTACAGGATGGAAAGGAATCTTGGAAGTCTTATTACATGAAGTATTAAATGTCAGTATAAATTAAAGACTAACTTTGTAATATGCCACTCTTATGACACTTTTCTAATAAAACATTCTGAAGCTTTCAAAATTACAAGCTTATTTCAGTTAGCAAACCCCAAATGTGATTGCTGCTCAGTTTGTTGATTTGCCTTTAAAAATAGCATGTCTTCTAGGCACAAGTTCTTGTTGTTTTTTTGTAGTGTCTGCTTTTGTTGATGAAGTAAAAAAAATTCGAATTTGAAGTTGCATTTGTTCTTATCCAGGAGAACATATTCAGTATACAGAACTGAAGGGGACAAATTGAGTGATGTGATTTGAAATTTGTTTTAATCCAGAGAAGTCAAGAACCTGATTTCTGCACTTGTTGGTTTCCTGCTTACTTGCATAGAGGTGTAAGTGTGCATGCACTGTGTGTATACATATATATGTGAACACATGCATGTGCAATTCCTATCCTAAGGTAGTCAACTGATCTTTGAATAGCAGAATGCTGCTTGCTTACCTATTTTAGAAAGATGTGCATCCTTTCTGGTTGTCGTTAAGACGGGCTTATTTTCCTTAGGAAATACTTGGGCATCAGAAACTTTTATCCCCCCCCCAAAAAAAAAATCCTCCACAACAGCCTGACACAAAAACAATATTCAAAGAGTGTGGTTTCTTGCCAGCTGCTGTGCTGCTGGCAAAATGTGTTTTGTATTGAGGCAAGTATAGTCTAATAAGACATATGTTTTCAGTCCTGAATTCCCAAAGGGATGAACTATTTGCCTTAATAGAACCTAGAGGTAGAAAAGGTCTATGATTCCATTTAATCTCCTACAGTAGCCACATGACGAGAACAGATAAGCCCCTTTGTCAGACTGGGATTATTGAGTTTATATTTTAACACCATATGTTTTTAGATTGTTACTAGTGTTACATGTTTAATGTTGACTGTTACTAGTGTTACAGTTGTAACACCTTATACCTTCATTGTGCCTTTATTAAAGCATGATGGATTATTTCTTATTACTCTGGTGTAAGGAATAGATAATAGAATTTGTATAATGCACAGAACTAGAAATAAGGTTAACCCACTTAAGTTTATCATGCCAAGAATCGATTAGAGCACGTAGAAACTGTCAGTTGTCATCACCTTCCCTTTGAGACTAGAGTCTTCTGGCTGTAGAGTTTTAAGGAATAAAGAACCAAGGCTGGCATCTGAGTCCTGCACTTCCAGCACCATACTTTGTTCTGAATCAGTTGTGAGCACTTTCATCACCTCTGTTGATGAAATTGAGGCTTTGATTCCATTAGCATCTTTGCCATATAGAACAGAGGTTTGCTTGATGGAAAATAAGGAAATAACGTGATTCTGTATTTTGTTTGTAACGAAAGCCGACTTGCAGGAGTTAGAAATGTGTCATAATTTGTTTAGGTGCGATTAATTCATCTGCACAGACCTTTATTGGCTGTACCACTGAAATTGAAAATCAAGTGTCTGAACAATTATCTGTATTGATGGGGCAGCTTTGATCTGTGCTGCTTCAGAACTATAAGAAGTGACACAAGTTACTTTTTCACCTGCAAGGCAGCTTGTGGCTTTCACACATTCTCTTAAATCATCTGGAAAATTTCTCTGGGCTTTCTAATGGAATTTTGCCTTTTTTATATATATTTATATATTTATATATATATTAAAAAAAAATAGTTTGGGATTTAAGATCTTTGGCAAAAAGCTGCTATGGGGAAGAGAGAAAGTTTTTGCTGTCTTAAAAGATAGGAAATAGATTATCTATTTAGAAGCTACATGCAATTTGTGGAAAGCTAACATAAGGTATGAGCAGACTACAACAAAATCTAGGGTGAATAGTATTAAATCCTTAGTCTGTTGCATCCAAAGAACACTTTAAGGGGTTGAAATGAGAGCAACAAAATGCTTTTGCAATATTACTAGTTGTAATTATGATTACTCCAAAGTTTCAGAAATTTTATTATGCTAGAATAGGCACTCTTTTCTCTCCTGTTCAGTTTTGACATCTAATTTATGAAAGTTAGGAAGTTGTCTGTATTAAGTATTTATGTATATTGGTTAATGTGGTGAGAAACCTAGAGATCCTGTAATTAAATCAAGTCACGTTATTCCCCTTAGACTCTTCTAATTGAATTCAACTAAATTAAAATATTTTAAACTGTTCCAGTGCTAAATCTAAAGTAGGGCTTGATATTGTAGAAGTCAAGAATGGCTGTCAGTTTGTGGAAGACAGTTGCTTATTGGAATTTCATTCTGCAGTCTAACAGATTAACAGGTACTGTTGACATCTGGAATTTAAAGGTTAAACTGATGTATCATGATTAAATCCAGATGTATGGGAGTCACTCTGTCTGTGAGAAAAATCTTACTAAGATAAAATGGGGGGGGGGAGAAATGGAACATAGTCCTCACAGACCCTGAAAGGCAATTCAACATGGGGGACATGGGATTGTAAATATAAGAATAATAGAGATGACAACAGAAGATACATTTCATTAGAATGTCCTTAAAACTCACTTGTAGGATATTAAATTGTAATACACAACTCTTACAAGTTCTGCATGTACATGGCTGTATATAGTAAAAAGTGGATTCTTTGGTTAATTCATTTGTGCCTCTTGAGGTAGACTGTCTTTCACTGAGACGCTTTATTTTGTGAGAAGAAAGAGGAGTTGGCTCTTTAACCAGCTCTCTGGAATATCCTAGCTATTCTGAGTCCTCTTCCTAAAAACATAGGCTAGTTTCCTAAAACTATGTTTTGTTATAACTTCTGACTATATAGACAATATTTGGACTTACTTAAAAAATGCTAAATTGCATTCAAATGTACTAATTATTTGGGAGTTTTGAAAACTTAATTCTTGAAGGGTAACTTTACATTACTTTGCAAAAAGATCATTTTAAATATCTGTCTTGAGCAATGTTAAACTGAAACCAGATTTGGCATTTGTGGGCTTTGTTTTAAATTTCATGCAGTAAGTATATACAGATTGGTGCTATCTTGAGCTTGAAACTGGGGGGGGAATCATTCTTGCAGGATGTGAACGTTCTCCTTAACACTATCTGTAGTTAACACCTTGTCCTCTGGCTTTATTCCAAAATATTTTCTGCTGTAGCTTTAAACTGATTAGCTAGGTGCCAGAACAAAGATACCTTTATACTCCAGAATATTGCTTTAGAAAATTTGTTTAGCAGTGGAAGAGAGGTTAGACAGAGTCATGCTGTTTGGCTGAGATTTGGAAAGATGAGTTTTCGTCAACTTTCACTATTTCTTTTTCCCAACAAATTATGTAACTTTAACTGTAGATCTTAAGCTTTGTGCTAGTTTTGAATTATTAGACTACTGAGACTAGCTACAATGCAAAAAAACCTACCCTCGGGTGCTTTATAGTTTCTTAAATGTTTTGACATATGGCTTGCAACTTCGGGATGCTTTTATTTCAACAGTGTGTTATGTAACTTGAGTAAGTTTCTAAAACTTACTTGAGTAAGTTGCAAAAGCACCAACACTGTGCTAAGATTTCTAGTTGTGTATTTGTCTTCTGAAATAGTCTTTTAAAGTTCATATCTCTTCTGATAAATGCTTTTCTGATCTTAGTTTTTGTTTAAAAAGCACTTTTGAATCTCTTATTTCTCATACTGAAATATTTAAATAATATTTATTTCAAAGCCAGTCCTTTTGCAACAGATCTTCCTGTTTCTCTTTGAAGTGTGAAAATAATTGATTTGGACAAAAGTTTTAAGCCTTATCAGCTGACAGTTGTGGGAAGGCAAGCTGGGTGATGGGTTTTGTGAACTCTCATTTCTTGTTGGGGAGGGAAATTGTGAATAGTTCTAGACTAACTGATCTAACTAAAGAGCACAAACTTACTATGACCATTTGCAGGACACAATAAATCTACTTCTTGGATGTAATAAGTGTGTATAGGTTTCTATATCTAGTACATGCCAATCTCACCATGTAGGCACAGCAGGTCTGAGTGCCAGGAGAGGGGTCCTGGCACATGGGCTGCTATGAAGGTGAAGAAGCCGTACAGCCACCTGTGGCAAGCTGGCAATGTCAAATATGATATACATTTTATGTGACAGAAGGTGTAAAATACCAGATACTCTCGTTCTTTGACAAGAATTTGAATTTGTGCACTTCGAAGTTAAGGCAACACCACACACCCCCCCACCCCCCC